GAAACACACAGCTTCTCCCTGACATGGCTGCATCAACACTACTGCTGTTTCTGAAACCACGCCTTCTTTCTTTGCTTGCACATTTGGGCGGCATTATGCAAATATTTCCACATAGTGAGGTAGATATGTGGGGGAGTGTTAGAACGAGCCGTTTTAGGTAGGTGTGGCTGACTCTTAACTTTTATAAAGAATATCTCTTTGGATTTGAGACTTTAGTCTTTGCAACTTTACAGATCTTCTTTATGCACCAAGAGCTTGTAACACTCCAAAGAGAAAGGAACAATTTAAATCGCATTATATGACCCCTTTAAAGCAGAGTGGCTGAAATGAATTCCACTGATATCATTCCTCTCTGTGGTATGGTTATCCTTACAGCCTTGTTGTGGACTTCCCTATATTGTCATAGAGTTAGAAAGATTATTCATACTTCATAGTTATCGTTATCATTATCGTCATTATCGTGAACCGGCCTTAAGGCAATGGTCCATATGGAGTATGTTGTTTAACCCGGAAACCGTAGCAAAACGTTGGGCACCGATTTGAGCTTGAACTTGCCCCAGACTTCCCCTTCAGGCAAAAGGTGGATAGGCCTAAATCGGATAGGTCGAATATAGTTTAAAGGTGGCTTAAAGGCACGTTCACCGCAAGAACAATATCAGCGTCCACACTAATGGACAATAACATTATATTGTAAGCACACGCTGCAGTTATGTCTTTACCCTGATAGCACACGTACATCACGGAGACGTCTATTTGATGTCTGCAAGACGTATTTTTTAGAGTGTTTGCTCATCTGCAATACGTCTATAGGACGTTTCCTATAAGATGTCAAATAGACGTTTAGAAGATGTCTTTAAGATGTTTATGATCTTAAAGACGTCTATCGGATGTTTGTACACAGCAGAAGCTTTCCAGATGAAGCGATCTTTAACAGACATCTTGCAGACGTACGTGTGCTATCTAGGCACTAAAATGCTCTAGCTCTTTAAAGGGGTCATATGATGCTGCTAAAAATAACATTATTTTGTGTATTTGGTGTAATGAAATGTGTTTATGAGGTTTAAAGTAAAAAAAAATATATATTATTTTCCACATACTGTACATTATTGTTGGAATGCTCTTCCACAGTAAGCTTTTCACCTTGGGTAATCTATGCATGCAAAATATTTGCATACTTCTTGGCGTGCACAGAATATATGCACTATTATGTAGCAATAGTAAGTAGTATGCAAGTATACATGACTTGCTTTATGCTTTTGGCGGATTACAGCGCTATCCAGTGTTCAGTTGTAGTCATAGACTTGATATTCACAAATCCTAAACACTATTTTGAATTATGTTCTTATTATGTTCTTAATACAGAATTATTCACAGTGCTACATTAATATAGTCATGAATTATTGAAAAAGCATGTATTTTGTGCGGAATCTTGGTCCTCACTGGGGCGTAGGAATTAAAATGTAAAGTAGGCCACAGGCATGGGTTTTTAGAAGTAATGATTATCTCCTAAAATAGATTTTTTAAATGATTTAAAAGTTATAATGGTTGCAGTAACTTCTCTCTGCATTCTCTGTGTGTGGCTTCCTCACAGTCCGCTGTTCCCTTGACTTGCGGTATTGAACCCCTGGCCTTGATACATGAGCCATATCTTCATAACAGATTCCTCGTTTTTTGTGGACTTCCTCAGCCCATTTGAGGTTTGAGTTCAAGGTGCCTTATTGCACAGCTGCTGTAACTGCCACACACTCCCATCGCTCCACTCCAACACTGAGGCAAACATTGCTGCCGCCAAAAAGAAAAAAAAAAGGCAGAACAACAGCTCTCTGTCTCAAGAGCTTAAACATTATTGCAGGTGCAAAGATAACAGAGTCAAGACTTGGAGAGAGTGAAATTCTCTTCTAACTTGGAATTTATATTGTGCCTCAGTTTATGTAAGCACACTCCGCTTTACTTTCTTGTGGATGTCCAGGGAAGGATTTATTAGATATACCATAAGTCCATTCAACTTAAAACTCTTATACTTTCTCTGAGATCCTCTCTCATACTGCGTTTGGCCTGCGAGGTTATTGTGACCTTGAACAAATCATTCCATGCAGTGCTAAAGGACTGAAATATTTGTGATAAGAGGGGGCGATGGCAAGGGCTATAAATGTCTATTTAGTTTCAGCACACATGGGAACTGAAATAACACAGACAACAAAACGGTTTGAATGGAACAGGAGGTTTTTATATTGTGTAGTTATTATACAAATATACCAAATACACTCCTCATGGATCACAATTTCTGTCTTTCCGTCTTTGTTTTTTTTTTGCATGTTGTCCCTTTGCCACCAGTATCGTATCAGCGCAAGCCTTAAAGGGATAGATAGACAGAATAAAATTTCTGTCATAATTTACCCAAATGTTCCTAAATTGTATGACTATATTTCTTCTATTGAATCACAAATGTTACACTGAAGAGTGTTTCAATTGTCTTTGGCCATATAGTGCAATTCAATGTGATCCAAAATAACACTGGACACTTTCATTGTATGGACCCCCCTCAAAAAAAAAAATGAAGTACCTTCTTTTCCACAGAAGAAAACACATACAAGTTTGGAACAATGTGAGCATAAGTACATGATGACAAAAATTTCATTATACTAACTATACCTCTAAATTTGATAACTTTTCCACAAGTACATTTCAATAGTATTAATTAATTTGCTGCATGCTAGTAATGCTGCATGCTTGTTGAAAGTTGTAAAGATCTACATTATTCATAGTAAAGATATCACCTAGTCTCAATTTTTGTGCATGAATGCATGCAGGATATCAAAGATATACACCTATCAGGATAGCAAAGGTCAATCAAGCAGCATCTTGTAAATGGTATAATTATTTCTAAAGACATCTGAATCGTTTGACCTGAGAGGTCAAGCATTATCAATATGAGATGCCTTTACCCTATTCCACACTGTAGAAACCTTCAAGAATTTAATATCCAGATTCCATGTTTTTCCTTATTTATCCTCATTTCAGCCTCCAAGCAGCATATTTTGGTGGACTGAGTTAGTGGTCAGTACACTTGGGCGATGTGACCCAGGGAATACAGTGTTCCATCACTAGTCTTTGGTGAAGGCACCTTGGCTCCGTTTTGCCCCGAAGAGATCTCTGTGCGGTAAATGTGCGCTCGTGTTTTAAAGCAGCCGAATTGGCTAGTCAGAATGAAGAAATCCCTCTTGAAGGTTTTGGTGAAGAAGGCGTACAGAAACGGGTTAGAGCAGGAATTTATGGGGTAAAAAAGCACTAGCAAGACTTTGGCGTGAGAAACTGTGATTAGCGGTAGTTTTAAGGCTGCGGAGATGGCAAAAAACGAGATGGGAGCCATACACAGGAAGTCAGTGAAGATGAGCACAGCCATGCGCTTTGCTATACGCATGTCTGCATTGGCAGGAACGAAGGTGGGATTGTGGACGGTAAGGTAGATGCGCATATAACAGACACATACGATTAGAAAAGCAGCTACATTGAGTAGGAGCA